TCCCCGAGAGAGTAGTTCGGGACGGTTTTGCCACTCCGAAGGGTCGCGTGGATGTCGCGATAGTCGAGGCAGTGGCGGTACTGAGTGCGAAACTTGTCGATCACCGAGTGGTGGACGGTGCTGACCGAGATGGAAGAGAGCTGGATGTGCTCCTGGTCGTGGTCAGGGCTCCGGGATAGGGCATCGGCGACCCGATTAGTCTCACCCTTGATGTGCTCAGTGGTGAAACTAAACTCGGATAGGTCGCGCCACCAGCGAGCCTGTCAAGGAGTGAGCTTCGGCTTTGTCAGAAAAGCTTGGACAACAGAGTTGTCCGTGCGCACCGTGAATGGTGCCCCGTGCAGGTAGTGACGCCAGTGCCGAACGGCATAAACTACTGCGAGAACCTCACGTTCATCAGCAGTGTAGTTTATCTCGGCGGGCAGGAGCTGAYGGGAGTAGAAGGCTATCGGACAATCCCCTTAGCGAGACTCGACAGTGCCGTCCTCGGCGATGGTAGGAGAATAGTCAATAAAAGGCTCGTCAGTAGCTGGACGAGTAGGCGTCAGTCGGGAAGCAGTGGTAGGGGTAGGTGGTGGGAAGCGAGGGATACGAGGATGAGAKGAATCAGGAGATGAGGGGAAGACCTGAGAAAGAACTGCTCCTACAGCGAAGTCTGACGCATCGGTGGTAAGGATAAAAGGGCGGTCAAAATCGGGTAGGTGAAGAACCGGTGCGCATGTCACCGCCTTCTTGAGGGCGCGGAAGGCGTCCTCGTGGAGGGATGTCCAAGCCCAGGGTGGGTTCTTCCAGAGGAGGGTGGAGGTAAGGACGTAGGAATACCTAGCGTATCCCCGGATGAAGTTACTATAGTAGCTGGTCAGGCCTAGGAAGCTGCGAAGCTGCTTGGCGGATGTGGGRRCGGGCCACTCCGCAATAGCAGTGATCTTCGTGTCGTCCATGTGGAGACCCTGGTCAGACACGTAGTGTCCTAAGAAATCCACTTTGTGCTGGGCAAAGCGGCACTTGCTTAGCTTGGCATAGAAGCCATGTCTGCACAAGCGGTCAAGGACGTCGCGGAGGTGTCTGAGGTGCTCCTCAAGGGTACGACTATAGATCGTCGAGGTAGATGAGAACGTACTGCTCCAGAATGTCCCTGAAGATGTCGTTCATCGCCCTCTGGAAGGTAGTGGGTGCGTTGGTGAGGCCGAATGGCATCACCGTGCACTCGTAGTGGCCGAATCGCGATCGGAACGCGGTCTTCGGCTGGTCGGCTGCAGCGACGCGGATCTGATCGTAACCGCTACGAAGATCAATCTTCGTAAAGAAGCGGTTGCCTGCTAGGCGGTCGAACAGCTCATCGGAACGAGGCATGGGGTAGCTGTTCCGAACCGTGTAGCGGTTGAGGCCGCGGTAGTCGATGCAGAGACGAAGAGTTCCATCCGCTTTGTAAGCAAAGAGGACGGGTGCACCCCACGGGGAGTTGCTGGGTTTAATGAAACCCAGTCTTAGGAGCTCCTCAAGGTGACGCTTGAGTTCGGTGGCCTCGGGGATCGAGAATCTGTAGGGTGCCTGGTGGTGAACACAATAGTCAGGCACGAGCTGAATGGAGGGCTCGACGTCACGCATCGGTGGGATGCCGGCGTACGATAACAACGATGGGAAAACGTCGTGGTACTCTCGGATGAGGTCACGAACTGCGGGCTTCAAGTCAGCCGTATACCGTGCGAGTTCCTCAGCGTCAGCGTTAGCGCACAACGGCGGGGTGGACTCGACGGACGGCGGAGGGACGGAAGTAGAGATGGGAGTCATGGAGATAGAGGGAGGATCTAGCTCCAGAGGGATGAGCTCGACGTCGGGACAGGGTGGATCATAGTGTAAGAGATCCGTCACGTCCACCATAAAGAAGGTGACGTCGTCCTGTCGAATGAAGTGAGCGAACTGCCGAGGCGAGGTGACAATGATAGAGGGAGATGGTGTGGGCACTGAAGGCTCCGGGGGAGGAGGATCGCGACGTGGTGTCGCCGTGGTACCTATGAAAGGTACGCGATACGTCTGTCCACACTTCGTTTTGAGAAC